TGTATTGACCGGAAACTTAAACACATGTGTGGATACATAAAAAAATCCCGTGTCCCTAGTGAGCCTCTGCTAGACCAGCTCGTTGATCAAAAGACGGTTAAGGTTTCCTAGCCATAGACATGTGTTGTCACTTGATAATGGGATCACATCATTAGGAGAATGATGTGATGGACAAGACCCATCCGTTAGCATAGCATATGATCATTCAGTTTATTGCTACTACTTTCTAAATGTCAAATACATATTCCTTCGACCATGAGATCATGCAACTCCCAGATACCGGAGGAATACCTTATTGAAGGAAATATGCCCTAGAGGCAATAATAAAGTTGTTATTTATATTTCCTTATATCATGATAAATGTTTATTATTCATGCTAGAATTGTATTAACCGGAAACTTGATACATGTGTGAATACATAGACAAAACACAGTGTCCCCAGTATGCCTCTACTTGACTAGCTCGTTAATCAAAGATGGTTAAGTTTCCTAACCATAGACATGTGTTGTCATTTGATGAACGGGATCACATCATTAGGGGAATGATGTGATGGACAAGACCCGTCTGTTAGCTTAGCATAATGATCGTTAAGTTTTATTGCTATTGCTTTCTTCATGACTTATACATATTCCTTTGACTATGAGATTATGCAACTCCCGGATACCGGAGGAATACCTTGTGTGCTATCAAACGTCACAACGTAACTGGGTGATTATAAAGATGCTCTATAGGTATCTCCGAAGTTGTTTGTTGGGTTGGCATAGATCGACATTAGGATTTGTCACTCCGAGTATCGGAGAGGTATCTCTGGCCCTCGGTAATGCACATCATGATAACACTTGCAAGAAATGTGACTAATGAGTTAGTTGCGGGATGATGCATTACGAAACAAGTAAAGAGACTTGCCAGTAACGAGATTGAACTAGGTATGAAGATACCGACAATCGAATCTCGGGCAAGTAACATACCGATGACAAAGGGAATTGTGTATGCTTTCATTATGGTTTGACCGATAAAGATCTTCGTAGAATATGTGGGAACCAATATGAGCATCCAGGTTCCGCTATTGGTTATTAACCGGAGAGGTGTCGTGGTCATGTCTACATAGATCTCGAACCCGTAGGATCCGCACGCTTAACGTTCGATGACAATTTGTATTATGAGTTATGTGTTTTGGTGACCAAAGATTGTTCGGAGTCCCAGATTAGATCACGAACATGACGATGAGTCTCGAAATGGTCGAGAGGTAAAGATTGACATATTGGACGACAATATTTGGACATCGGAAGTGTTTCGGAATGTATCGGGTACATATCGGAGTACCGGGGGGGGGGGGTTACCAGAATCCCCCGGGGGAAGATATGGGCCATAGGAGGGAGGCAAACCAGCCCACAAGGGGGGCGCCCCCCTCCTCCGACCAAGGGAGGAGTCTAAATTGGACAAGGGGAGGGGGCGGCGCCCCCCTTTCCTTCTCCTGCTCTCTCTCCTTCCCCCTTTCCCCTTCTGGTAAAAGGAAATAGGGGGTGAATTGGACTAGGAGCCCAAGTGGAACTCCTCCCACTTGGGGCGTGCCTAGGCCGGCGTCCTCCCCTCTCCCTCCTTTATATACGGGGGTGGGGGCGCCTCTAACACACATCTATTCTTCCAAGTAGTGTGTGGCGCCCCCTCCACCGTTTACTCCTCCGGTCATATTGTCGTAGTGCTTAGGTAAAGCTCTACGCGGATCACTTCACCATCACCGTCACCATGCCGTCGTGCTGATGAAACTCTCCCTCGACACTTTGCTGGATCAAGAGTTCGAGGGACGTCATTGAGCTGAACGTGTGCAAAACTCAGAGGTGTCGTACATTCGGTGCTTGATCGGTTGAATCGAGAAGACGTTCGACTACATCAACCACGTTAAGCTAACGCTTCCACTTTTGGTCTACGAGGGTACGTGGACACACTCTCCCCCTCTCGTTGCTATGCATCTCCTAGATAGATCTTGCATGATCGTAGGAATTTTTTTGAAATTGCATGCTATGCTCCCTAACACTTATGTGCTATCAAATGTCACAATGTAACTTGGTGATCATAAAGATGCTCTACAGGTATCTCCGAAGGTGTCTGTTGAGTTGGCGTGAATCGAGATTGGGATTTGTCATTCCGTATGAGGGAGAGGTATCCTGGGCCCTCTCGGTAATACAACATCACAAGAAGCTTGGAAGCAAAGTGACTAAGGAGTTAGTTACAAGATGGTGTATTACGGAACGAGTAAAGAGACTTTCTAGTAATGAGATTGAACTAGGTATGGAGATACCAATGATCGAATCTCGGGAAGTAACATACAGATAGACAGAGGGAACTACGCATATTGTCATAAAGGTTCGACCGATAAAGATCTTCGTAGAATATGTAGGAACCAATATGGGCATCCAGGTCCCGCTATTGGTTATTGACTAGAGAAGCATCTCGATCATGTCTACATCATTCTCGAACCCGTAGGGTTCGCGCGCTTAATGTTCGTTGACGATATAATATTATATGAGTTATGTGAATTGGTGACCGAATGTTGTTCGGAGTCCCAAATGTGATCACGAACATGACGAGGTAAAGATCGATATATAGGGCAATACTATTTGGTCTCCGAAAAGGTTTCAGAATGCACCGAAGTTTTATCGAAGTGTCAGAAGGGGTTCCGGGAGGCCACCGGGACTTGGTGGGCCTCAAGGGCCAAAGGAGGGAGGCACAACCGCCCGGGGCTAGGCGCGCTCCACCTCCCCTGCCCACGCGCTAGGAAGGAAAGGGGGGGCTCAGGGCGGCTGCCGGCCCCTCCCCTGCCATCTCCTCCACCCCTAAATAAGGAAAGGGGGGAGGCACCTAGGGCAGGATCCCAGGGCTCGTGCCGGCGCCCTAGGGCTGCCTTCCCTCCCCCCATCTATATATATGTAAGCAGAGGAGGGGGCAACACACACCACGATCCCCTAGCCATGTGCGACACCCCTCTCCCTCTAGTTCTAGTTCCTCCTCCGTCCACGTCCGTTGTACTTGGCGAAGCCCTGCGGATAGTTCCACCACCACCGTCACCATGCCGTCGTGCTACTGAAACTCATCTACTACTTCGCCTCTCTTGCTGGATGGAGAAAGCAAGGACGTCATCGAGCTGAACGTGTGCCGAATACAGAGGTTATGTACGTTCGGTACTTGATCGGGACGGATCGGGAAGGTTTACGACTACATCAACCGCGTTGATAAACGCTTCTGCTTAGCGATCTACAAGGGTATGTAGATGCTCTCCCCCTCTTGTAGCTATGCATCTCCATGGATAGATCTTGTGTGTGTGTAGAATTTTTTTTGGTTTCCATGCAATGTTCCCCAACAAATATGAGGCGGATATGGGTTGGCCCGGGCACGCCCGGGCGCGTCCGCTTGACAAGCTTGGCCCACCATCGACCCCACGGCTATCACACAAAAAACCCCATCCGTCTCGTCGCTCCGAAACCCTAGCTCACTCACTCTCCTCTCTCGCTACGTCCTCTCCTCTTCCCGCACCGTTTCCGATTGAATCCGGCGCAATGTCGAGCTCCTGCAGCCGCTCCGACTCTGACCTGGATCCAGACTATGAGCTTGCCCTCTGCATCGCTTTGGAGCGGTCCAAGGTGGAGACCAGGGGCAGCTCTGGATTTGCAGCATCGCCGCAGACGCACCTTCCCCGCCGGCGCACATTGGACGCCAGCGCTGGCCCCTGCCGGCCCGTGTGCAGCTCCGACATGCATCCTGCGTAATCTGCGCCTCCCCTATGCCGTCCCCTGCCCCGTTGGCTGCTGCTCTCCCATGTGGGCAGCGGTGGGTGCTTGCGCTCGCCCCGCCGGCCCGGAATCAGAGGCGCGCGCCACCCGCCGCGAACGGCAGCAACAAAGGAAGAGGAGGGAGGCGGAGCATTCCGTGCGCCGTCGCCGCGGGATGGAGGCGGAGCCTGACAAGGACGCGCGGCTCCTTGAATGGGTCTACCACCGGTCGCTTACGAACGTGGAGACGGACGCGCGGCGGCTCCGACGGAAGAACGCCAAGGTGCTCCAGTTTGCCATTGAGCAGTCCGAGCGTGAGGCGGCGGAGGCAGCGGAGGAGGCGGCTCAGCTCGCGAAGCTCAAGTGGCACCAGGACAGGGAGGTCCAACGGCTAAAAGGGTTTGTCATCCTCTCCGACACCTCCGATGACGATGACGACCACAACTCCTCCTCAGATGATCTGCCACCAGCCGCCGACGCCTACAGCTACGCGGGCGACCGAAAGGCCAAAGGGCCGACGAGGAAGTGGTGAATCTCCGCCGCCTCCGTCTTCAATTCCATGTTTTTAGTAATCTAGTTTAAATTTGTCCATCGTTTATGTGAATTATGTGAATTGTAGATCTTTTGGACATCCATCAGTGATCTTTTGGTGATCAAAATGTGCATTTCTCTGCTCGATTCTATGTTTGTGTGATGATCTACGTCCTTTTTATCTACATTGCATGCTAGTATAGATTTGAGGGACCGGATATAAGATACACGGATGTGGACGACCAGATTTGAGGAGTGCCCAGTCAATACCCGCGGGGGCGTCCGCGGGCGTTTGAGGACCCGGATTTGCAGGTTGCACCATCCGGTATGAAAGTAGTTGATACTCTCATGATCTAAAAATTATCCATAAATTGACATTATTTGAGACGCCCGGCTGTAGATGCTTACGTTTTTAAATCTTCTCTGCAAAACGGGCTGCTAGATTTTGCGCGAATCTTCTCTGCAAAACACCTGTCACTGCTGACAAGGCGGCACATGACGCACCACGTGTTAACCTCGCTGTCAAGGTCAATTATATACAGTACATACACTCGGAAAAAGGGAAATGGTTCAACGGTCCAACAATTTGGACTTTGCGTCGCACGACTCTTTGGAGTTTGGGGCTCTCCACCACCACTCCCTCCCTCCCTCCCTCCGCCCCCCGACTCACTGCCCACTCCCCACCCGCGCGCCGCCGCGGCGATGGACTCGCTCCGCCTCCGGCCGTCCTCGCTCCGCTCCGCGCCCGGCGCCGCCGCCGCCCGCCGGCGAGGTGAGTGCCTCGTCTCCCCGCTCCCCGCCCCTCCGCGTGGTTGGTGTACTCCGTGTGATTGGCGCCTTTCAGTTAGCAGCTTTGACTAGATGCTGGCGCTGTACGAATGGTTGTAGTTAAGCGGGAGGAAGTGCTAGCTGACCTTACCGGATTCCGGGAGCGAAAGCGATGCCGGGGAGTGCGGTTCGTTGGGATGGGATAGGAGTGTTCTCCTAGTACGCCGCCCTTCTCCAGAATAGGAGTAGTAAGCCGAAAGGGGTCAGTGTTTTGTCACTGGTAATCGACTGGAGAAGTCGTGTCAAAGTGTTTGTACTCGCTACTCGCTAGCTCGGTGTCGCGGCGGATCAGGGCCGACGAAATGGATGTACCGGTAGGCGTAAATGAACCTGCAGACGACTTGAAATAGTTTGACCATTCGGTACTTTTGTTAATAGCTTAATACTGTATTTTTGGGGGAAATACAGCAGTTTCTTTGGCCACCTGGTACTTTTCTTCATGGTGAATGGAGAGGACGCATGTTTTTTGCCTGGTGAATTTTTAGCATGTACCAGGAGGATAGGTTGTGAATGGGGAAGAGATTTATGGTGCGATTTAAGTGACATGTTTTTAACTTGTTACTAAGGTTAGTAGATAACCTGTCTGTTTTTGTTGGAATGATTTGTCATGCTGTGTGCAAGGGCTGTGAAGTAGTACCAAGGTGATGCTGGGGCGTTTGTGGTTTCAGTTGAGCCAGTGTTTGGTTATGTCAGACACGAACGTATGCGCTGATGTATTCCTGATATGTTTGTATTAGTTTCATGCACAGTTCCTCTGCTATTGTAGTAGTACTGTATGCTCAGATGTTTTTTGCTTGTGTAAAATTCATTGCGGTCTGTAATCAAAAGCAGTTGTACAGTTGTACTACAACAAGTCTAGTGAGCGTTTCTGTGTTATCAGGCGCTTCCCGTCTTCTTTCGGCGCACATAACGGACTGACCTTACGGAAATGGAGTAGGCAAAATGTAAAAATAAATAAATCATTATCTTCTTGGCTGATCCTATTCAGTAGTGAAAGGACTAAGCAGACAATATATTTTCCAATATCTGAGTTCACATATTGTCACATACCTTGCATTATGGATGAAGTTCTTCAATCTTTGTTTCCTGAGTGCTTGACGTAGTTTTGAAATGTTGATTTTCCAGATCATATTCTACCATCATTCTGTTCCATCCAACGAAATGGTGAACGGCGAGTTTCTTTGTCCATCCAAGCGTCCAAAGGCCCTACTGTTGATCATTGTAAAAAATTCTTGGATTGGAAATATTCCAACCATAGGATATCACATCAATCGATAAATACTTCTGCAAATGCTGGCCAATCACTACAACCTGAAACTGAAGCACACGATCCTGCAAGCATCTGGAAGCCAATATCATCTTCTCTGGACGCGTTCTACAGGTTTTCTCGGCCGCATACCATAATAGGAACAGTTAAGTCATGTTGATGTTGCTTCATTTACATGAATCAAGAGCGTATAAGATCTCTTAATGAAGCTAGTATGCTTGGGCTGTGGCATGCTTTTACTCTCTCTGGATCTAAGAGAAAAATTCTTGTTTAGGCAGGCACTAAGCATAGTCTCAGTTTCCCTACTAGCGGTCGAGAGCTTATCTGACATTTCTCCCTTGTTCCTCACTGGTTTGCTGGAGGTACAACTTTGAGCAGCACTTTTCTTCTACAGTTATGGACTTGTATAAAAAATGATGCATTTTTGCTCCCATGTAGGCAGTGGTGGCCGCTCTTTTTATGAACATCTATATTGTTGGATTGAATCAGTTGTTCGACATTGAAATAGACAAGGTATTGTAGATTCATTGCAGTCTAAAATGTTTTGGTTGTGACTTTATAGTACTGCTTTCTATTATATCTGTTTCGAACGTCTATGGAACCTAATGTTGTTAACTTGCCAGGTTAACAAGCCAACTCTTCCACTAGCATCTGGGGAATACTCTCCTGCAATGGGGGTTGCAATAGTGTCAGTATTTGCTGCTATGGTAACGTCTTTTTAGACATTTATTACTGCTACAGTAACTATGTTTATTTGTCTGGAAAGAGATTTGGAAGTCTTATAGCTTATTTGGACATTTCCTTTCGATGTATTACTTAAGCATTTATCTTCTACTCCCTCCGTTCCTAAATATTTGTCTTTCTAGAGATTTCAAATGGACTACCACATACAAATGTATGTAGACATATTTTAGAGTGTAGATTCACTCATTTTGCTCCGTATGTAGTCACTTGTTGAAATCTTTAGAAAGATAAATATTTAGGAACGGAGGGAGTATATTACTCTTTGTAACTAATGATACTCCCAGACAATGAAATTAAGTAGCACAGTAAGAAACAAGTTCCTGCATAGGGACTTCTGAACTTTGATGGATATGCATGGTTGAGCACCTGCACTTAACAACACTTCCATTTCTCTTAAATCTAGTGAGGGTGTACATTATTGTCGCAGTTCTCCCGCTTCTATTTGCTAGTTACACGGCGGTGAATAAAATCTATTCCATTCATTTGTAGTTGCGATAATCTTGGAAGAATAATTTGATAGTTGATTTACTTAGGCTCTTTGCTGTCAGTCTGTCAGACTAACAGGAGCGTTGCTATTTGAACTGCAGAGCTTTGGCCTTGGATGGGTTGTTGGATCACCACCTCTGTTTTGGGCTCTTTTTATCAGCTTTGTTCTTGGAACTGCTTATTCAGTCAATGTAAGAGCTTACGTCTTTATGATCATCAACTCAGCACATATGACTTAGGTTCCCGTATATTCATATTTTCTGCGATTGTGTTGTTACCTACTCCCTCCGTTCACTATTATAAGATGTTTTGGATATTTCAATATGGACTACATACAGATTGAAATGAGTGAACAAACACACTACAACGCGTCTGTATACATCCGAATCAGAAAAAGCTAGAACATCTGATAATAGTGAATGGAGGGAGTATTTTGCTGTAATACAAAGCTTTAGAAGGACTAATATAGTAATAATAATCTACTTTTGAATGCTACTATAATCTAAGTGAAATGCTTATACCAGCCTTTTTTTTTACATTCACATGGGCCTGAAAGATGTGGATAACTGACATGCGTGGAACCCACCTATGAGACTATACCTGATCTGCACTTTTAATGGGCTAACATGTTACAGTGGAACACCTTGCTCGCTCTGCACTCTGCAGAACACTCAAATCTGATGGTATAAATGGGCCTCAAAACGTTTTGGGGGCTGGCATGTGGCATAGCCCAAAATTGACAGATAAAAATCACAGTGATATATGGAAATATTTGATGTGAAAGCATTTCGTCCATTAGTTCATATCCCTGCATAATTATCTGGAATATCATGGTATTTGGTGTGATATGTTGATACCCATTATTACCTAAGTAAACAGAGCCAACATTTCCATTTTTGTATTCTACAGCTGCCGTACTTTCGATGGAAGAGATTTGCTGTTGTTGCAGCACTCTGCATATTAGCAGTGCGTGCGGTGATTGTTCAACTGGCATTTTTTCTCCACATTCAGGTAAGTCTTCTTCGGATGATCTATTTGAAAACAGAAGCAACTTATAGTAAGACATAATGTTCTGTTTGGAACTGTAATTTCATTTTGATGTGTCTTGTTCTATGAACATCACATGGTAACTGCTACATATGATTTATGCTGTGTTGCCTTGTCTTTCTTTCAGACATTTGTTTTCAGAAGGTCGGCAGTCTTCTCAAAGCCATTGATATTTGCAACTGCTTTCATGACATTCTTCTCAGTTGTAATAGCATTATTCAAGGTAACGAAATCTAGTTTCTGTACTGCATTACTGCAGCTAAAGTGATTTGCTAATTGAATGCTCATAAATATCCTTTCATGGTTTGCTAACACAGTGCTCATTTGTTGATTGCTTTTGATACAAACAATGTTCCCTTGAGAAATTTTGTTTTTTTCCTGCAGGATATACCCGATATTGAAGGGGACCGCATCTTTGGAATTCAATCTTTTAGTGTTAGATTAGGTCAAAGCAAGGTTAGTAGTAAATAAAAAACATTGCTATTTTGCTAAGAAACTTACTGTTGTGGTTGCTGATTTAAACTCCCACACAGGTTTTCTGGACTTGTGTTGGTCTACTTGAGGTTGCCTACGGTGTTGCGATACTGATGGGGGTAACTTCTTCCAGTTTGTGGAGCAAATCTCTAACTGTACGCCACAACATCTCATAGATTTCCACTGCAATGTCCATCATTAAATTTAAATTATCCATTTTTTGCCAACCAAACAATTTGAGTATTAGGCTTTGTTCTGAATTGATTACCACCATGGAGCTAACATCTCCAGTCATCTGTAGAAGGCTTTTATTTCTCTTATGATTGAGAAGTAGTTATGGAAATTAATATGGCTTTATTATGGAAATTTAACCTCTTTAAAATTCAAGATTGATCTGAGCCTTGTACCTTTGTTCTGTTTTAGCATTACAAGGTAAGTTAAACTTTTGTATCCATTTAAGCTTGCCCAAAACATAATAACAATTATATAATTAAAAAGGCTTAAACTTCTATAGGCTATTGTATAAGTGGTTGTTTGTAGTCCCGTTTATGAGCATGGGTTTTTGCAGGTCATGGGCCATGCAATCCTCGCCAGCATCTTGTGGAGCAGCGCACGGTCCATCGATTTGACAAGCAAAGCTGCGATAACATCCTTCTACATGCTCATCTGGAGGGTAAGTGCTGACATCAACACCAGTTCCCCGACCTTTTGCCGCATCCTTCTCAAATAAAATTCCTTGTACTGTCCAAACATATTCAATCAGTTCACCTTCCGCGCCTTGTGGATCCTGGAATGACACACCCTGTTGACTGATATTCACCCCCCTCACATGGCTCCGCAGCTATTCTACGCGGAGTACCTGCTCATCCCTCTGGTGAGATGAGGACCGACAAGCAGCCCCACGGAAGAACTTCAGTGCCGGAGTAAAGCTGTGCTGTGCCCAATAAAACTCCCCGAGCCTTGCCCCGGTACATCGTTGATTTTCCAGCCATGGATGGTGGGATCACCTAGATGGACAACCTCCCCATGTACCCGAGCTGGGCCAGGTGAGCTGTAGTTAGTGATGCTAGCAACAACTCCTGCAGCAGGCACACGGCTGCCTGGAAAATAAGGCTCCCCACTCCAACTCCAACTACATTCTGCTGTACGTTTTAGAACTTGTGAATTTTGCTCTGGTTCGTTGTTGTTGTCTAGGATGTTTGGAACATTGCGCACAAACTTTCTTAAATCTTACCAGGAGGGGTGAAAATTGGCAAAATTGGTCCCTTTTATGAAGTTTGAACCCTCCTCTAAAATCTTAACAAGCAAACATAACCATTCTGTACAACACAAGGTTATCTGGCGCTGAACTTGACAGTCAACGTCTATGGCCTACTCTTTTGCCTTTTGGCGATATCTATGAACCTCCTTGCAAAGTGGGTTTCTTCATCATTATTCCGTGTTGCTGCCGCATGATTAAATTGTAACGAAACTTCTTCTGCAATTTACCTGAAATGAACCAGAGAAAATGAAAATAAGCTCTCAACCATCGGAAACGGGTGAATATGGCTGCAGCATGGATCATAATGTTATGTACGTACCAGTTTTACGTCTGAAAGGCATGGCAGCAGCCCAGCTGAACCAAAAGAATAAAATTGTATCAGGCCTTCTGAAAAGGACAGGCTAAGGTTATGCATTATGCACAAGAATGTAAGAGTGAAGTAGCGTCACCTGCCCCGAGCAGCACTCTCCTCCTGCCTCAAGCATGCCGGGACAGAGTCAGAGTCAGACCCTTGAAGGAAAAGAAATTACAACGGTTAAACGTGTGCCGGGGCGAGCAAACTGTATGCTTACAACAGAGGTAAGTGTCTGTCAAACAATGTTCTATGGAAACAAACACTATAGCTAAAAAGATAGCAATTCCCCATGCAAGATAAGTGGTCTAGACCTATATGCCTGATATGCACCACTGTGAAAGATGGAACACCTCTATGCTTCCAATACTGCCATAATGTGTTTCTAATCACAGATAGGGCTGTATATCGGTCAATTTGGCAGTCCCCCTTCCCCATATCATTGAACTTGTACTCCCTCCGTTCTAAATTAGTTGACTTGAATTTGTCTAAATACGGATGTATCTATACTTGTTTAATGTCTATATACATTCGTGTCTAGATAAATATGGGTCAAGTAATTTGGAACGGAGGAAGTAGGTGTCAGCCAAACATTAAAGAAAAAAAACTAGGAAGGCTGCTGTGAATCTACGTAATTCCAGCAGGCGCAAAAGACACTCTAATAGTGTTCTATTACCTGCAGCAACACGAAACGGAAAATGCAGGAAAATGTGCGAGGATAGGGTACAAAGGAACATGTGTGGAACACCTACAGTGTTTCTATATATGTACGGCCATAATATGCAAATATCACACTTCTTATTTCTTAACGGTACACGTATTGGAAATTTGCGCCTTTCGTGCTAAAACTATCAGGAAACCACAGGAGGCCATCAGGTTCAGGAACTCAGTTTCAATTTTGAATGTGCTTTGCCAATGCTGGTGCTGGTAAGTGATAACCAGGCCAAAAGACCTTGCGAAGGTAGACGTAGAGATGTATTAGCAGAAAAGGTACACCATTGTGCGTCCATATACTAATATTAAGGAAATCGATTTGTTTAAGCAGAGTATCTTCGAAATAGCTCTTATCCCTTTCTCAACATTGTGCAAGATGTGAACTGCGGTGCCAAGGTGGCATTATAATTCAAAGCAAAGTAATCAAATAACAACAAGATAAAAAAATATGCTTACGGCTGCTTGAAGGATCATACTGCCATGCATGGACTAAGTGGGAAGAGCGCACGATCAGCTGGTTTGGTGGCTCCGGCATATCGAATTCACCGGATTCCACAACCTTCCTCCGTCGCAGGTCCACGGCAAAGATGCAGGAGCCGAGGAAGAAGTAGAGCTTGTCCGGGTCCGCGGGGTCGAGAAGCGCAAGCGCGGGGATGCTCCCTGGCAGCATGGCGTCGAGGTAGCTCTCATCGGCCCAGATGTCCGGCAAGGGCACGCGGCGCTCGGGGTTCCATTTACCAGCCTCGGTGAGCGCCCACGTGCTCACCACCGGGCGGCGGGATCGCCATGGATCTGCACGTACCTCAGCCTTCCGCTGCTCGCCTTCACGCAGCTGTGGGAGGCCCTGTTGGCCAAATTTGCCACTTTTCCCGGAAGCGGGTCGATGATCGTCGGAAGCGGGACGTGTAGCAGCTCCGGCTTGTCGGAGTAGGGGTCACAGGCGAGGAGGCCGTACGAGAGCTCCACCCACCAGAGCATCCCTCCGTGGGAGACGACCCCCTCGCAGAACCACTGCCGGTGCAGCTGCGGCGAGTAGGCGAGCTCCGTCACGGCCCACTTGTACTGCCCCACCGTGTAGCGGAGGAGCGTGGCACGGCCGGAGCCGTCGCCGGAGGGCTGGAGCTCGGCGACCACGCAGCTGTCGCCCCTCGTCATTAGGCCGACATTGGCGTCGTCGAAGCCCATGGGGCAGTCGTGCTCGCGGAAACAGGTGGCCTCACCTGTGCGCGCGTGGCAGAGGTGGTAGGTGACCTCCCCGCCAGGCTCCGTGGCGCAGAGGAGGAGCAGGCTGGAGGGGTCCGCAGCGGCGACGTAGGGGTAGCTGGGGAGGCAGGGCGGCGGGGAGATGCGGAGCGGCACGGTGAGGATTGAGGCGCGCGGGAGCTCGTCGCAGGCGACGGAGACGTCGGCGCCCGGCGGGAAGGTGCGCTTCGCCTCCTTGTCCTTCACAACTTTAGGGATTCGAGCCAGGATGGACCACCGCTCCGGCGGCGGCGGCGGCAGCATGACTGGCCCGGAGGGATTTGATCGATTAGGGTTAGGCCAACTCCAATGCTGGACCCTGATTCGTCCGAGTCTGTCCGTTCTGGTCCAAACTATTCCTCAAAATTATTATCCGTCTTGACCCATTTCGGGCATAAATTTTGGTCGGGCTTTGCGGTAGACACGCACGCGCCGTCTCGCCATTCGCCTAGGGCCCGCGTGTCAGCCATCCAACTACCTCCCACCGATCCCATTAAATCCATATGAATGGATGGGCCCGCCGGTCAGCCAGCCAGCCGCGTCAGGGTGCATCCTTTTTTGTGGTGAAGCCGTGGACCCCTCAGCCAGCCAGCCAGGCCAGTCCACTTCCACTTCCTCACCCCGTCTCCCCGTCATTGCTCCCTTCGTGTCCGACACCAAACCCTAGCCTAGCGCAGCACCCCACCTCGCTCCCCGCCAGCCGCCACGATGGGCTTTTGGAAGTGGGTGACAGGCAAGAAGGGCAAGCACGACCGCGAGACGGGCCCGTCATTCGCCTCGCCTGGAAGCGTGGCCACCCACTCCACCTCGCATGACGCATTCTTAATCTCCCGTCCGGCGACTCCTGTACGCTTCTGCCCGTACATCAAGATGGAGGTCTGCCACCGGTACTGGCTGATTGGAACTCCGCTGTCGTGGTCCGATGCCCACCTCCCCAACGCGTGGCATCTGAGCCCGGATCGGATGCCGGACCATTTTGGGGGCCGCTGCCCCACCTCTGGAGTGAAGGAAATATGCCCTAGAGGCAATAATAAAGTTATTATTTATTTCCTTATAATCATGATAAATGTTTATTATTCATGCTAGAATTGTATTTACCGGAAACATAATACATGTGTGTGAATACATAGACAAACAAAGTGTCACTAGTATGCCTCTACTTGACTAGCTCGTTAATCAAAGATGGTTATGTTTCCTAACCATGAACAATGAGTTGTTATTTGATTAACGAGGTCACATCATTAGCAGAATGATCTGATTGACATGACCCATTCCATTAGCTTAGCACCCGATCGTTTAGTATGTTGCTATTGCTTTCTTCATGACTTATACATGTTCCTATGACTATGAGATTATGCAACTCCCGTTTACCGGAGGAACACTTTGGGTACTACCAAACGTCACAACGTAACTGGGTGATTATAAAGGAGTACTACAGGTGTCTCCAATGGTCGATGTTGGGTTGGCGTATTTCGAGATTAGGATTTGTCACTCCGATTGTCGGAGAGGTATCTCTGGGCCCTCTCGGTAATACACATCACATAAGCCTTGCAAGCATTACAACTAATACGTTAGTTGTGAGATGATGTATTACGGAATGAGTAAAGAGACTTGCCAGTAACGAGATTGAACTAGGTATTGGATACCGACGATCGAATCTCGGGCAAGTAACATACCGATGACAAAGGGAACAACGTATGTTGTTATGTGGTCTGACCGATAAAGATCTTCGTAGAATATGTAGGAGCCAATATGGGCATCCAGGTCCCGCTATTGGTTATTGACCAGAGACGTGTCTCGGTCATGTCTACATTGTTCTCGAACCCGTAGGGTCCGCACGCTTAAGGTTACGATGACAGTTATATTATGAGTTTATGCATTTTGATGTACCGAAGGTTGTTCGGAGTCCCGGATATGATCACGGACATGACGAGGAGTCTCGAAATGGTCGAGACATAAAGATTGATATATTGGAAGCCTATGTTTGGACATCGGAAGTGTTCCGGGTGAAATCGGGATTTTACCGGGTTACCGGGAGGTTACCGGAACCCCCCGGGAGCCATATGGGCCTTCATGGGCCTTAGTGGAAAGGAGAAAGGGGCAGCCCAAGGGGGCTGCGCGCCTCCCCCCTTCCCCTAGTCCTATTAGGACTAGGAGAGGTGGCCGGCCACCCCTCTCCCTCTTTCCCCCTTGGGAATCCTAGTTGGAATAGGATTGGGGGGGGGGGGGAGTCCTACTCCCGGTAGGAGTAGGACTCCTCCTGCGCCTCTCTCTCTTGGCCGGCGCCCCCTCCCCCCTTGGCTCCTTTATATACTGAGGTAGAGGCACCCCAAAGACACACAAGTTGACACAAGTTGATCCACGTGATCTATTCCTTAGCCGTGTGCGGTGCCCCCTGCCACCATATTCCTCGATAATACTGTAGTGGAGTTTAGGCGAAGCCCTGCTGCTGTAGTTCATCAAGATCGTCACCACGCCGTCGTGCTGACGGAACTCTGCCCCGACACTTTGCTGGATCGGAGTCCGGGGATCGTCATCGAGCTGAACGTGTGCTCAAACTCGGAGGTGCCGTAGTTTCGGTGCTTGATCGGTTGGATCGAGAAGACGTACGACTACTTCCTCTACGTCGTGTCATCGCTTCCGCAGTCGGTCTGCGTTGGGTACGTAGACAATACTCTCCCCTCGTTGCTATGCATCACATGATCTTGCGTGTGCGTAGGAAATTTTTTGAAATTACTACGAAACCCAACAGTGGCATCCGAGCCTAGGTTATTTATGTTGATGTTATATGCACGAGTAGAACACAAGTGAGTTGTGGACGATACAAGTCATACTGCCTAGCAGCATGTCATACTTTGGTTCGGCGGTATTGTTGGACGAGACGACCCGGACCAACCTTACGCGTACGCTTACGCGAGACCGGTTCCCTCGACGTGCTTTGCACAGAGATGGCTTGCGGGCGACTGTCTCTCCAACTTTAGTTGAACCAAGTATGGCTACGCCCGGTCCTTGCGAAGGTTAAAACGGAGTCTATTTGACAAACTATCGTTGTGGTTTTGATGCGTAGGTGAGATTGGTTCTTACTTAAGCCCGTAGCAGCCACGTAAAACATGCAACAACAAAGTAGAGGACGTCTAACTTGTTTTTGCAGGGCATGTTGTGATGTGATATGGTCAAGGCATGATGCTGAATTTTATTGTATGAGATGATCATGTTTTGTAACCGAGTTATCGGCAACTGGCAGGAGCCATATGGTTGTCGCTTTATTGTATGCAATGCAATCGCGATGTAATGCTTTACTTTATTACTAAACGGTAGTGATAGTCGTGGAAGCATAAGATTGGCGAGACGACAACGATGCTACGATGGAGATCAAGGTGTCGCGCCGGTGACGATGGTGATCATGACGGTGCTTCGGAGATGGAGATCACAAGCACAAGATGATGATGACCATATCATATCACTTATATTGATTGCATGTGATGTTTATATTTTTATGCATCTTATCTTGCTTTGATTGACGGTAGCATTATAAGATGATCTCTCACTAAATTATCAAGAAGTGTTCTCCCTGAGTATGCACCGTTGCCAAAGTTCGTCGTGCCCAGACACCACGTGATGATCAGGTGTGATAAGCTCTACGTCCATCTACAACGGGTGCAAGCCAGTTTTGCACACGCAGAATACTCAGGTTAAACTTGACGAGCCTAGCATATGCAGATATGGCCTCGGAACATGGAGACCGAAAGGTCGAGCGTGAATCATATAGTAGATATGATCAACATAACGATGTTCACCATTGAAAACTACTCCATCTCACGTGATGATCGGTCATGGTTTAGTTGATTTGGATCACGTAATCACTTAGAGGATTAGAGGGATGTCTATCTAAGTGGGAGTTCTTAAATAATATGATTAATTGAACTTAAATTTATCATGAACTTAGTACATGATAGTATCTTGCTTGTTTATGTTGATTGTAGATAGATGGCTCGTGCTGTTGTTCCGTTGAATTTTAATGCGTTCCTTGAGAAAGCAAAGTTGAAAGATGATGGTAGCAATTACACGGACTGGGTCCGTAACTTGAGGATTATCCTCATTGCTGCATAGAAAAATTACGTCCTGGAAGCACCGCTGGGTGCCAGGCCTGCTGCTGGAGCAACACCAGATGTTATGAACGTCTGGCAGAGCAAAGCTGATGACTACTCGATAGTTCAGTGTGCCATGCTTTACAGCTTAGAATCGGGACTTCAACGACGTTTTGAACGTCATGGAGCATATGAGATGTTCCAGGAGTTGAAGTTAATATCTCAAGCAAATGCCCGAATTGAGAGATATGAAGTCTCCAATAAGTTCTATAGCTGCAAGATGGAAGAGAACAGTTCTGTCAGTGAGCATATACTCAAAATGTCTGGGTATAATAATCACTTGATTCAATTGGGAGTTAATCTTCCGGATGATTGCGTTATTGACAGAATTCTCCAATCACTGCCACCAAGCTACAAGAGCTTCGTGATGAACTATAATATGCAAGGGATGAACAAGACTATTCCCGAGCTCTTCGCAATGCTGAAAGCTGCGGAGGTAGAAATCAAGAAGGAGCATCAAGTGTTGATGGTTAACAAGACCACTAGTTTCAAGAAAAAGGGCAAAGGGAAGAAAAAGGGGAACTTCAAGAAGAACGGCAAGCAAGTTGCTGCTCAAGAGAAGAAACCCAAGTCTGGACCTAAGCCTGAAACTGAGTGCTTCTACTGCAAGCAGACTGGTCACTGGAAGCGGAACTGCCCCAAGTATTTGGCGGATAAGAAGGATGGCAAGGTGAACAAAGGTATATGTGATATACATGTTATTGATGTGTACCTTACCAATGCTCGCAGTAGCACATGGGTATTTGATACTGGTTCTGTTGCTAATATTTGCAACTCGAAACAGGGGCTACGGATTAAGCGAAGATTGGCTAAGGACGAGGTGACGATGCGCGTGGGAAACGGTTCCAAAGTCGATGTGATCGCAGTCGGCACGCTACCTCTACATCTACCTTCGGGATTAATATTAGACCTAAGTAATTGTTATTTGGTGCCAGCGTTGAGCATGAACATTATATCTGGATCTTGTTTAATGCGAGACGGTTATTCATTTAAATCAGAGAATAATGGTTGTTCCATTTATATGAGTAATATCTTTTATGGTCATGCACCCTTGAAGAGTGGTCTATTCTTATTGAATCTCGATAGTAGTAATACACATATTCATAATGTTGAAGC